CATAAATGAGGACCACTGCAAGATTACTTCCATTGTTTTCAAGTGTAACACATTTATCATTTTCTTTCTTGTGGTACAGGCCGCAGCCAAGAGATTATGCTCTATTTCACCATCCCTTCCCTCTCTCCCATGCTTCCCCAGCCCAAATTTAATTAAGTGTTCTCCAAGTTTTCTCTGGAAAAGGTTCTTAACTCACAGCAAATCTGCATCCACAGAAGGCTCACCAAGCCTTGTATTTTTGTCTTCATGGCTCTTTACTCTTCTGTTATAGGGACACACCTTGATGTTAAGTGTGTTTAAAGGGCAGTATGTATCATTTCTTGAATTTGGAAATAGTTTTGTTCCTGTAACTGATCTGTTTCATGAGCGAGATTTAAGCAGCAGCCACTCCTACACCTTGTTGCCCAACTGTTTGTTGAGAAGCTCCACCCACTTGTGGTCTTGCTCTTACTCTCTAAAGGGCCACGTTTTTTCTTTTTTCTTTTTTCAGAACTTTCCCTATTGGGGATGGTGGAGGTTTTTGTTTTTCTAATAACAATTTTCCCTCCTGTAAACTGTGGATAAAAGAAGAATGATTTACAAGAAGAATTGAGAGATGCTTGCTTAGAATGGACATAAAGAAATAGCTTGTGTATAATTATGAAGATTCAAGGATAAGAAATGTTTACCAAGCTAAAAATATATTCAGGCTGAGAAAGTTTTCTGAGTTAGGAATGATTTAGGTAAATATAGTCTATAAGGGTATATATTGGTGCAGTAGGGCCATCTATCTGAGTATGACCCATAATAGCGACCCTATGAAAACAGATCTGAGCCCTGTCCTATTCTGTGCCATCCGCAGACTATATTAAGCACTTCCTGGCCCTGTGCCATGCCCACAGTCACTGCAGTGTCTGAGCCAACTGTTGTAGCCACTGTGCCACTCCATAAGTGCAAATACTCAAGTATTATTTCTATATTCTATGTATCCTGCTTATTGAACTTATAAAAATGAAATAGTTTTCAGAGGCTCTAAATCACATGGGAAGATATTGTCCATCTTTCTCCCACAGAGCAGTCAGTGAATTCGAATAGACTGCCTTTGAATTAGCAATGCAATTCCTTATCCACCAGACTACTAGAGCTTCCTGAGAAACAATACAATGCTTTATTGTTGTTAGGTGCTATCAAGTAGAGTACAATTTAAAACAACCCTATGAATGACAGATCTGAACCCTGTCCTGTCCTGTGCCATCCTGTCCTCATGATCTCTGATGAACTTGAGCCCATTGCTGCAAAACTTTCCTAGTTTATTCATGTTCTCTATAATTTTCATGTGAATACACTGCACATAATTACTTGTTTGTATTGTTACATCAAGTCAGTTTCAAATCTAAGTGACAAGGCACAATCAAAAACCTCCCTGGTCCTGTGCCATGCTCACAATCATTACCATGTTTGAACCATCTGTTGTCACCACTGTATCACTCCATATTTTTCTGACTACTTTATGCTTTACTGAGAAGTTCTTCTCCAGAGACTGGTCCCTCATGATAATATATCCAAAGTATATAAGATAAAAATCTCACCAATCAAAGTATGTAAAATGAACTCTCACCTTCTCCACTCACTTCTAAAGAACATTCTAGCATTATACTTCTTCCAAGACAGTTTTGTTCTTTCTTCTGGTAGTCCATAATCTGTTCGATGCTCCATGCCAGCATCATTATTTAAAGACATCAAATCTTTGATCATCATCCTTATTCATTCTCCAACTTTCATAAGTCTATGAGGCAACTGATTGTTACATAGTAAGAATCAGGCACATCTTAGCTTACTCCTCAAAGGGACACCTTTACTGATTTTAGCACTTTAAAGAGGTCTTTTGCAAAAGATTTGTTCAATGCAATATGTTGTTTGATTTCTTGACAACTTATTTCATGGATTGCGGAGCCAAGTAAAAGGAAATTCTTGACAACTTTAATTTGTTCTCTCTTCATCATGACCTTACTTTAAAAATCAGTTGTTGTTGTTGTTGCTGTTAGGTGCCATTGAGTCAAGTACAACTCATAGCAACCCCATGAACAATAGATCTGAAACCTATCCTATCCTGTGCCATTCTCATAATGTCTCAAATCCACACTCAAACCCACTGTTATCCGTTTATTACCTAGTTGATGCATTTTTTTCTTTATATTGATGTAATCCATACTGAAGGCTGCAGTTCTTAAATCTTCATCTTTAAGTATTTCAAGATCTTTTAACTTTCAACAAGCAAAATTTTATTATCTGCATATCATAAGTTGCTATAGTCTTCTTCCAATCTTAATACTATGTTCAATTTATCATGCAGATTGAAAAAGCAGAGTGAAAGAATACAAGCATGACATAGACCTTTCCTGATTTAAGGAACACAATATCCTCATGTTTTTCTTGAACAACTCCCTCTTGGCATGTTCATAGGTTCCCCAGGAGCAAAAAATAAAGCACAACATACATGAACTAAACACAATGAAAATGAAAGATTGAATAAAATACAATGTACATGCATGAAATACAATACATATAAATGTTTGTTCTTGTTGTTAAGTGCTGTCAAGTCACAGGGACTCATAAAAATCCTATGAATGAAAGTCTTGAACACACATAACTTTTATTGTTTTTCTAATTTCATAGGGTTTCCAGCAGTAAGCTATTTCAGAAGTGGATGCCATTTCTGCTTCCAAACCTGTTTCAATTTGAGAGATCCACAAAACGCTATCCGCCATGAGTAAACTTTATCACATTGAGCACATCAGTGTCAATATATGAGAAGGAAAAATTATTTGGAACTACTGTTCTTTGGAGTGTTATACATACTTTCTTATTATTCTCATTTGAATTCCTTTGTATGATCAATAAAGTACATGTAAACATATTTCTGGTAATCTCTGCTTTGGGCTAGAATCTACCAGTGGTTATTTCTCTTCTGGCAAATCTTTTTCTGAATCTGGCTCCAATTTCTGACAGTTTTCTACTGATATGTGGTGGTAACAATGTTTTTGTTGTATGATTTGTAAACATAGTTTAGATATTTTACTAATGTGTGATACTAACAATACTATTTAATAATTTCTGTATTCTGTTCTATCTTCTTTCTTTGGAATGGGCACAAATATGAATTTCTTCCATTCAGTTGGTTAGGCAGCTGGTCTACGCATTTCTTGGTATAGATGAGTGAATACATTCAGAGTTACATTCGGTTTTTGAAACATCTCAATAAATTCAGAATATAGACTAGTAGGCTTGAACTGGTGGAGACTTTGCCTTTTAGAAAGCTTTTGACCATGTCTGAGAACCTCATTTTTTTCCTAAGAATTTTTTTTTCAACAACTGAGCAAATAACATTACTAGCATCTATTGAGTAGAGGCTAGAGATGCTACTAAGTATCTTACAATACACAGCCCAGATCCCAAAGACATCATTATCTGGACCCGAATGTCAATAATGACACTTTTGAGAATTTCTAACATAGACAATGCTCTTCAACTCAAACAATCCTCCATCATTTTATTCTCCTTTGACCTAATTCTTCTCAAGTACACCATACCTTTTGTTTATTTGGCTATTTCCCTTTCTATTTTATCTTTGAGATTTTTCTCTTTTATGAGGTTTTGTCATAGTTTAGAAAGGGCAGTAATTAGAGGTTGGAAATGATTTCTGGACAAATTAATGACAGCTCATATTAGACTCTAATATTAAGAAATACAGATATAGTATACCATAAAATTTTTTAAAATCTGCAACAAATTGTATGGTTTTCATCTCAAGGTTTGTTTTTTGACTCTTGGAACATTGTCTTGGAGTCAAGAACACAGAATTGATGAATAAAAGCTGAATCATGCAACTAAATTGAGAACATATGCATTCCTAAGAATTTTTGGTCCACATACTAACTTGTTTCCACTCCTATATCCTGGATTAAATTATTAATTCTCTTCAAATTTTACAGACTTTCATTTATCATCCAATCGTTACTACTCTGAAAAGCCAAGAGTTTTTTCGGGTGAGTCTGCCCTCTTTTGGTTAGCCTGGGACTAACCTGACTTCAATAATAATGCATCAATACTACTGGGAAATCTGTTAATTTGTTTGGTCTTTTAAAAATTATTCTTAGAAGGTTTCTTCCTCTATTTTTTTATTTTGAGTGAAAACCACAAAGGAAGCAAACATTCACAATGATCTTGCACTGTTTCTACTTCCTCTCTGTACTTCTGATTTACATTAATCCTATACCTCTCTTTGTCTTTTCTTCTTTAGAGATATTGTGCTGATTATAATTTGTTTGTGTATTTTCTTTCCCTTCACTCATCTGAATATGAGTTAATTATCTATTTACCAATTTTACTCCCCTTTATATCCCTTCCCGTACCTGGAACCATTGACAAATAATTCTATCAACATATAAACATTTAATAGCTAATCAAAAGATTAAATACTTGGGAATAAATCTAACTAGAAACACAAAAGACCTATTCAAAGAAAATTACAAATCATTACTATAAGAAACAAAAAGAGACCTGGAAAAAATGGAAGAATATACCGTACTCTTGTATAGGAAGACTCAATATTGTGAAAATGGCAATTCTCCCAAAGGCAATATACAAGTTCAATGCAATCCCAATGCAAATATCAGTTTCATTC